TAGCAGATTGAAACTCAGTGATGGTATATGAGGTGGTCTTACGGTCATTACTATTTTGTGTATGTTTGAAAACTTCTCTAAAAGAGTAAAGAAAGAAAGGAATGGTGTGTTCTTACTGGATTTTGTGTCTAAAGGGAAATCCAGTAGAGGGGGCGCCTGGATGACTTCGTCAGTTAGGCGTCTCCCTCTTGATCGCAGCTCAGGTCTTGATCTCAGGGTTCTGAGTTTGAGCCCTGTGTTAGGCTCTGCGGTGGGTGTGGAGCCTACTTTTAAGAAAAAGGGGAGGGGCGGAAATCCAGTAGAAATCAGTGAAGAATGTTAATTATATTACTTCTTTTCCCTATAGGAATTGTTCCATTTTAGGAATTACAGAAAGCCCCAAAATTCCACTGGAATCACAAGTCGTTTCCTTTCCTATAGCTAGTGCCTAGGTTTTTTTCTAGTACAGATTAACTTATGCAATTTGTATCATACCTATAGTAATTAGAGGGGTGGGAGTATGTAACTAGTTCTTATGAATCCCAAGGCAATGTGGAAGTTAGCAGTTAATTTTTAGGTCAGCAAAATGGTGTGGTGGAAAGAATACAAGATTTTAAACCTAAAGACCTGGTTTTATTCATTAAATATGTGACCTTGACCAAACCACTTAACCTACCTCTCTGATACCACCTGCCCTAGTAAGTACCTCCCTAAGATGTGAGAAGAAAATAATGCAAAATCTTGACTTTTCAAGTACAAATTATTGTAGACCAGAACCAAGTAAGGCTAGTCTCATGTTACCATAGAATCTTTGAAATCTCATGGGCCAGGTTAGATACTCAGGATGTCTTAACTTCTGAAGAAAAAGAAATGTGTAGTTGTTATGTTGACAGTGTCTGCTTTGTGTCTTACGAGATGGTTATTCCTCTCAATTACTCAGAATCAACTGTTTTCTAATGGTGCAAATCACATTTGTTTAGTGCTCTGTGTTATGGGAAGTGTCTTCACATATATTGCCTCATTTGGCTTCTTTATCCATGACTTATTTTATGACTTTTATTTAAAGATATTTTTCTCCAATTAGTATTATGTCAGCACATTTTCATAGGCTGATCATCCTGTGTGACTTTATTCATTAAACCCATTTAGTCATTAACTGGTTCCGTGTTGGCCACAGTCGGAAAGAAGCAATGAGACATTCACAAGGTTAGCTTACAGCTTCTTTCCTTGGAAGGGTAAGAAAGGTACAGCGTGGTCCAGAGATTCTCAACCTTTCTCTGCTTTCTGCTTCCATTCACTTTACATATGCAACTCACTGCCGTCAGTAACTTCTCTTATATGCATGTTTCTCAGTCCTGGCTGGTTGTAGGTTGAGCAGGCAGGCACTTGGGAGCACTGCTTATATCAGTCATCAGTACTTTCATTTTTTTTAAAGATTTATTTATTTGAGAGAGAGAGAAACAGCATGAGAGGGGAGAGGGTCAGAGGGAGAAGCAGGCTCCCCGCTGAGCCGGGAGCCTGATGTGGGACTCGATCCCGGGACTCCAGGATCATGACCTGAGCCGAAGGCAGTCGCTTAACCAACTGAGTCACCCGGGTGCCCATATCAGTCATCAGTATTTTTAGTCGTCGTCTTCTGTAAAATAGGAATCTCCTTGCTGCCATATGTTTGGTTTACTGCTTATAATAAGAGCAAACATTTGAGAGCTTTCTGTGTGCTAGACACAGATCTATGGGTTTTATATCAGATTATTTTCTCCTTAGTTCTTGCCTCTTCCTAGCGAGCTGTTTCCTGATGACCTCCATGCTTTTGTGTCCCACCCAGACCTTTCTCTTAAGCTTCAGTCCAGTCTCGTATCTCCAGTTAAAAGACCTTTCTGCTGGATAACCTATACAGTCTTCAAATTTAATATATCCAAAACTCTTTTTCCTTCTGCATTAGCATATATTTAACCGGCCACTCTGTTTGGTGTTAGCAGTAGGAGCTTCCTGTCCATAATTATATACAGCAAGAAAACCTCTGTGGTTTATTCTGAGAATCACTTATATGTAAGAATAAAATCAAACTTAGGGGTGCCTGGGTGGCTCAGTCGGGTCTGGCTCTTGATTTCGGCTCCAGTCATGATCTCTCAGGGTTGTGAGATCGAGCCCCATGTCGGGCTCCGCACTGGGTGTGGAGCCTGCTAAGATTCTCTCTCTCTCCCCCTTTGCCCACCCCTGCTCTCCCCCCCCTCAAAAAACCTCAAACTTAATACTTTAGAATAAGGACCTTACTTACGGTCTGACCCTAGCTTATACTCCTAGCCTCATCCTGTTCTCTTCCTTGCATCTTAAATTCTAGCCAAGTGAGCTACTTCCTGTGCCACCCGCATCCCTCTGTATAGTTTTCTTGGCCTTTCCCTGCTTTGTTTCCGACTCCCTCGGAGTCCCTATTCTTCCTTTAGGCTCTGCTTTAGTATAGTTCATGTTGTCTAGCAGGCACTTATTCTGTATTTGCCAAGTAGATGTCAGTGTGTTATTATAATGGACATTTTAGAAAACTTACAGATCAGAAATGTGACCCCCATTATCAAAGAATTTCTAATGCAGTGGAAACAGGGCAAATGTAATTTACTTTTATACATATTAAAATATATATATATTTATATATATTATTTACTTTTATATATTTACAAATATATATACTTCAATGGAAAGTATGGTTTTCCATCACAACATTTTTTTTTAAGACTTTATTAATTTATGTTTGAGAGAGCAAGCGAGCAAGCACAAGTTGGGGGGGGCGGGCAGGGGGAGAAGCAGATTCCCCACTGAGCAGGGAGCCCTATGCGGGACTCGATCCCAGGACCCTGGTATCATGACCTGAGCCGAAGGCAGATGCTTAACCAACTGAATCACCCAGGAGCCCAAAATACAACATTTCTTATATTACAATAAAATGTGTGGTCCAGTGAGGAAGAGTAGATACTCTATCTTTGCAGAGATAGTATATTCTGACACACTGTAGTCTAAATAAGCTGTACATGTTGTTCAGGCTATAATTAGTCTTTAGTAGTAGTTACACATTATTTTAGGATAAAATATACTCACAAAATACTAACCATCTCTTCAGTATTTAGAATTAATTTACCCATTCTTAGTTTAAAAAAGAAATTACCAGTTTGTTAATCTGCTTCCAGTCCCTCGCCTGCTCCTTTTACAAGCTGTATCCTAATAATGCCAAATAAAACACTTAAAAGTTAAGCAAACAGCCATTACTTAAAATTTCATACACCATCTTTGCATTTACCCCCCCTTTTATTACCTATGCCTAGTCCCCGTTGTCTTTCAGAACGATCATTGGATCTGATCATTTCTGTCCATTCTTACTGTGTCATGCAAGCCTGTCCTCAGTTTATTACTTGCATCTTGGGAGTGTCAAATAGGTCAGTCTTATGTCTCCAGGCTCACCTCTACATCCCAGGCTTGGGTTCCTTCAGCACACTGATGAAGAACTGTTAAGATGCTGTTTTCATACATCGTTCATTCCTCTGCTTAAAAGCTTTCAATTGATCTCTACGTCCCAAGAAGTCAGATCAGAGTCCTCATCTTAGTATTCACAGCTTTTCATGATTTGGCTCCTCCATCTTCATCCAACCTTATTTTCCACTGCTCCTTATCTCTAACCTTGCATAACTTAGATTTTGCCATGTTTATTCTTCTTTGCAAATACTTTTCAACTGTTACTTTTCCAGTAGTATCTTTTCCACCTTAGTGTTTCTAAATTCAGGTTACCTTTAAGGCCTGACCCTAGTGTCTTTTTCTCCAGTATCTCCTAGTATAGCAAGCTCTTCCTTCTTGTAGATCTTCTGATTGTCAGTAGGCACAGGATCTAATATTGCCACTATGCAAACATTATAATCCGTGTAGTACTTCTGTTGTCCTGAGAGTTGGCTGGCGTATTCAACACTGGATTTAGATGGTAAAATCTGAGGACAGCTTTACTCCATCAGTCAGGATATATAGAATTTATCTACATTATATAAAAATGTCTAGCTACTTGACTTAGATTTATGTGATTAGGTCTTCTGATGAGCAGTTGAAGGTAGAGATCAAGATTTCCTGGGAATAACTGGGGTATAGTTACTCATACAGTCCTTCAATAAATATTTACTGAGTACTTTTACTATGTGCCAGGCACTGTTCTAGGTGCTAGGAAAACTGCAATAAATTAAAAAAAACAAACAAAAAAACCCTGCCTTTGTGGACCTTAGTGGGGGCAAATGGACAAATAAGATGTAAAGTCACATAGCAGTTAAGTGCAGTAAAGAAAAACAAATGATGAGTGACAGGAAAAGGGATGGAATACTATTTTAGAAAAGACAGGAAAGACTTCTCTGAGAAGGACACTTTGAACAGAGAATAAACGGGGGGGGGGGAGGGGTGAAAGGAGAGAATAGAGGGCAGAGGCCTTGAGGCAGCGGTGTTTGATATACTCAGGGAACAGGAAAGAGGATGTGGCCAGGATGGTAGGGATATAGAGGGAGAGTGGTTAGAGAGGAGATCAGAGATAGATGGGGACCCGGATCATGCCATGGCAAGGACTTGTGATTTTATTGTATGATGCTGTAACTTGGGTAGCTTTTGAGCATAAGAATGACATGCTCAAGGGGCGCCTGGGTGGCTCAGTCGTTAAGCATCTGCCTTCGGCTCAGGTCATGATCTCAGGGTCCTGGGATCGAGCCCCGCATCGGGCTCCCTGCTCCGCGGGAAGCCTGCTTCTCCCTCTCCCACTCCCCCTGCTTGTGTTCCCTCTCTCACTGTGTCTCTGTCAAATAAATAAAATCTCTCTAAAAAAAAAAAAAGAATGACATGCTCAAATAACTGTGGAAAAGGATCCCTCATGCTGGTGAATGGAGAATAGACTAGGGCTTGACAGTGAAGGAGGGAGAGTCCATGTGGTATGTTCCAGGGTGAGAGGTAGATGCTTCCTTGAATGAACAAAGGCTTTGTGGTATCTGTTATTCAGCATATATTTATTGGGAGCCCACTCTCTACCAGCCACTATACCAAACACTAGGGATATGATGGTGAGTAAAAGACACAGTTCATCTCTCCATAAGGCTAAGAATCTGTAGCCAATGCTAGTTGATATTTGTTGTGTTCAACAATTCAAGGGAAAACTGGTCTGATTTTACTCTCAAGAAGAAAATCAGAAAAGGGACTGTTTCTCAGTTTCTCGAAAGAAACACTTTACATATGGCCACAAAGCAGTAATATAATGATGTTCCAAGTTGGGTAGGAGTTACTGTTGTGACTATGGTTTCTGAGAAATCAGTACATTCCTGAGTTACCTAAAGGTGGTGAAGTATCTTATTATTTCATGTTCAGAAATAGAGATCCCAAGGTCTGCATTTAGCTCTGAGGTGGACTGAAGGGGATTGAGAGGGTTGGTTTGTATCTTAGTACTGTTGACCTTTATCACTTGCCTGTAGCTGTGATTACTACAGAGAACCATGCCTTCAGTCCACTAAATTCTAACTGAAGAAGTCAGTGTAATATATACCAAATGAGTTAACTGGGATTAAACTGGATTGGGATGGGCATTATACCAAATAAAAATCTGGTAATTTTCCATTTTAGATCTTGTGAGCATGTATCACACCTATTATATAAGAAAAAAAAAAAAGGCAAACCATGTACTTTGCATGCATGATCTCATTTAGTTCTCAGAGCAGCACAATTAAGTACTATCGTGACCATTTATAGATAAAGAAAATGAGACTCAGAAAGATTAAGTAGATTACCTGAGAGTGCATAACTGGGTGAACATAAGTGTCAGGGCTGCAATACAAATTCTTGACTTCAAACACTATACTTGTAAATACTACTCTTTAGTCACTACCATTTCAAAATAAATTGCCTCCGGGCTTTAATTCTTCCCATTCCTCTTTTCTTGTCCTCTCTCTACCCCCACCTGCATTTACCCTTCTCCTCAATTTACTATGTCAAAGAGAAAGAATGTATTTGAGATAAAATTTCCTAAAGTTTCAGGTCTACTGAAATAATGAGAATACTAATTTTATCATATTCTACCTTAACAAGGTAAATTACCTATTTATATTTCTGCTTTTGTAACTGGTCTTGTCCTTTGCTCACATTTCTATTGGGATCTTAGTGTTTTCTTATCAGTTACATGCATTTAGAAGAAAATTTTATGTATGATTTTTTTTTTACAGTCACTTTTGCTGCATTGAGAGTTGTAATTAAATACTAGCCCAATATAGTCAACAGGCAGAAGTATCTAGAGGTAATTCTGCTACATGCAAAAATAATGTAGGCCCAGTGCTTCTTACACTTTATACCCCAAGGGTACCTGAGGCTGCTCAAGTTTTTTTATTTCTTTTATATGAGGGGGGAAAAATAATTACTACTACTACAAACCCTTCTCAGATGCTAAAAAATAGCAACATTCTAGAAGTTTAATTAAAGGTCAGATCTTTCTTATGTATTCTGATGATGAAATGATAGTGCATGCACAATAAGGAAACAAGTGACTCCACTGTCATTTGTTAGATGACAACACACTGTCACTGTGTTAGAACACAAGTATTTAAGGACATATAAATTTGAATTTGTTGAAGTTGGCTCCGGAAGGGTGTTGTAACATCCTGATTTCCTAGTGGCCTGAAAAGAAATAATGAAAAAAGAATAACAAAACCTTTTTAGTAGTTAAAGTAGTTAACTACTTTAAAGTAGTTAAAGTACCAAAGTATTTTAAGTACATGAGGTCTGGCACAATATTTGTCATTATAAAATCCCTTTAACTTTGCTTTTTTAACTTCAGGATAATGACATCTTTTAATCCACTTTCTCCTCTATCCAGAAAGATCTTGGGTGTAACTGTCTTACCTGCATAATGCGATCAGGTTAGAACCAATAAAGACTAACACAGGGAAACCTTAGGTTTAAAAAGAAAATCAAAGTGGAATTTGGCCAATGCTTGGATTCGGATTTTAAGCTTGTTATGTGGATTTATTTATGGCCTCTAAGGCAATCACTTTTTATTCTTATTCTCAATTAGTGAACTAATTCACGAACACATTTCCAAAAACAAAGTTGCCAATATATTGCTCTTTCCTTCAGTGGAGTCATTTGTTTCCTTATTGTGCATGCACTATCATTTCATCATCAGAATACATAAGAAAGATCTGACCTTTAATTAAACTTCTAGAATGTTGCTATTTTTTAGCATCTGAGAAGGGTTTGTAAAAATAAGAAACCATGGGAGAGCGAAATAAACCATCTTTGTTCCTTCTCCATATGTGGCAATCTGAAGGAAATAAATGCTCTGGCTTATGAACTGGAAACATTTTAATTTCTAGTAAGTGGCAGTTTAAGAGTATTTCTTAACCTCTTATCCTTTCTACATTCTGAATTAAAGGGGATTATTTAAATGTGAAATTCTAAGTAGATGTGCTAGAAGACAAGACAGGCATAATGGTTAAAAGACCATGGATGGGCTCTGGAGTCGGACAGACCTAGGTTGGAATTCTGGATCCCCATTTATTGGCTGTGTGACTTGTGCAAATATGCACATTTGTTGGAACACCTTAACAAATGGCAGCATTATACAAAAATTAAAAAAAAAAAACCTTACATAAAAATCATAAATAAAATATTAGTGTCAGTAAAATAGTCATTAAACATTTCTTTTATAGATGAAAAAAGTTGATTGCCAAAATCGTGAAGCAGCTAAAAAATATGTAACTTTATATTATACTTGAAGTTTCTTTCCAATAACCCTAAGTTTGAGTTAGTTGTTTTATTTTAAAATGTTTTGGTTATCATGAGATTTGACATCTAAAGGAAAAAAAAAAAAAGAGGCCTATTTGTTATGCATATTCTAGTGTATGCTAATGGTTTTGACAACGTATGCATATAGGTTAGAAAAAAAATCCCAATTGTTGCAATTTTCTCATGGTTGTAAACACTATTAGATGATTGAAGACATGTAGAACACTTCTGTGGGTACTCACCATTCCAGTGAGTCACAGCACCAAACTATGAAAGTCTTGAGAGAACTCTCATAGGCTTTAGAATGTAGTAGAAACATTAATTTTAGGGCAAGTTACAGTATTTTGGAAATTCTTGCCAACAAACAAAAAGAATTTGGCATTTGGAAGTTTTCCATAGGCCTAGTCTATAGTCAGACCCACAGAAACCAGCAGAAAATAGGTCAACACTCACATGGCTTACAGTGCTCTGGGGACACGAGCACCTTAAATCTTCCTCTTGTATTGATCTTCACTTGGCAGCTCTTTCCGAAGTGTTTGTGCTGATTAATACTTAAGTGATTTAAATACTGACTTAGTAATTTCTAGCACATATAAAATAATAGCATTTTTAGTTGTGTTCTTGCTTCTGAAGCAGCCAACTTCCTTTTAGAGCTCTTCATTACTCATTATGGCCCTCAAAAATAGCTCTTTGATTGAAGTTTCCTGAGTCATTCGGTTAATGTATTTCTCCAAGTCTGTAATCATACAGACTGGTTACTACACACCATGTTTCTTAGCAGATGAAAAATCCTGTTTTCACTTCACATTCCTTAAGCATTTAAGGCAGTCTCTGTGGGAGCTGTCTCCCCTGCAGTATGCGAAGGAGCCAGAGCCCGGAGTTATAAATGGGGGTGGGGGGGATGGGTTTCATATCTGAAATTTAAATTACCAGGTACTTTTATTTATTTTATAGCTTAATCGTTGAGATTTTCCAAGATAGGTCTAAAAAGCAGAAGATACGATTTCAGAGATTGGAAAAAAGCAACAGCACATTTAAAGCAGATGTAAAAGTGGAGCAAAACTTTTTATAGTTGCTTTCTTTACTCTTATCAACGGAGATGTGCTTAATTTTTATAACTACATTTAACTATCTTTAATGTAACCTTAAAAGTAAATATTCCTGGGGCACCTGGGTGGCTCAGTCGTTAAGCGTCTGCCTTCGGCTCAGGTCATGATCCCAGGGTCCTGGGATCGAGTCCCACATCGGGCTCCCTGCTCGCCGGGAAGGCTGCTTCTCCCTCTCCCACTACCCCCTGCTTGTGTTCCCTCTCTCGCTGTGTCTCTCTCTGTCAAATAAATAAATAAAATCTTAAAAAAAAAAAAAAAAGATTAAAAAAAAAAGTAAATATTCCTTTGCCCAGGGGTTAAAAATAATCAAAGAATTCTAAAGCAAATCCAGCTTTAAAAATATTCTATCCCTGTTGTCTTTTGTTCAGAATTCTTGAAAGCTGGTATGGAGGAGGGGAGAAGAGAAGATAAAGTTAGTTTATTTGCTAGAAAGAGCTGTCATTGTTTTCTTGACTGGTGAAGTAGGGAATAAGTGGCAAAGTATTTTCTCTACAAGAACAGTAATTTTTGCTTTGAAGTTCATGAATCTAATGCTACATCTTCCCTGGGTAAATTCTTTAAAAATGTTTTTGTTATTGTCTCTCATGAAACCTGTGTTTATTTAGCCCTGTATGTTCACTCTTGTATCTTTTACTTTGAGGAAACCTATTCTAGTTGACTTTAAGCCCTTGACTACCTTGTTATTAAATTGAACAATTAAGTTCTGCATCAATTTGTATGCGCTATGGCTGGATTCTCTCAAATTAGTTCATTTTTTTTAGTCCTCTCTAGAAATGGTGACTCCTCTTTCTATACCTAATGTTACATCCAAATGTTTTTATTATAACATGGCTAAATGCAGGTCCGGTCTCCACTTAACTTTTGCGTTAGTTCAAGACTGAAAGGCCATTGTAGTTGAAACGTGTGAAGGGGGGGTGAGACTGGTGTGAGAGAAGATGGGAGGGAGATGAGGGTCAGATATGTAGTTTTACGAAAGTCATGGTAAGAAGCTCAGGTGATTCTAGGTGAGATAGGGAACCATTTAAATGAGACTGATATGGTGTGTTAAAAAAAAGAAAAAAATCACCCTGGCCATTAGGGAGAAGAACTACATGAGGCAAGAACAGACTGTAGACTAGAGGCTCTTACAGTAATCCAGGCTATCAGACCAGGGTAATTGAAGAAATGAGAAGGGGACAGATTCTGGATATGTTTTACAGATAATGTTTACAGGACTTGGTGATAGATTGATCGTAGGCCCTAAGGGAAGCGACATTAAGGGCAAGCCCAGGCCCAATCAGCTGTTCGTGCCACTGCAGTGACGGCCTTAGGTCTGTGTGATTCCTATTCTGTGCCTTTGCTGTACCCAGGGTTTAGGAGAGAAACTAAGGAAGAACAGGTTCAGAGAGGAAAAATCCAAGTTCTGTCCACTCATATAACATTCCCAGATTGATGGGACTTTTAAAAGTGCATTCATGAAATTTTTCTGAAATATTATTCAAATGACCATGCCAGAAGCATTCTAGACAGAAGCGTTTCCATTCTGTTTCAAGGAACAGACCTAAATCTCACCCCTCCCTCCTGTAACTTAACACATATCCAAAGTCGTTGCTTGACAAAGCCTGGACAGGTTTTATATCAGGGTTTCTCAACTTCTGCACTGCTGACATTTTAGATGGGGTAATTCTTTGAGGGGCTGTCTAGAGCACTGTAGGATGTTTAGCAGCATCCCTGGCCTACTAGATGCCAACAGCACCATCTCCCAGTTGCGGAAACCAAAACTGTCTCCAGGTATCACCAGATGTCCCTGGGAGGCAAAATCCTTCCCAATTAAGAACCACTGGTTTATACTAAGCAAAACTTTCTAGCATGGTGCTGACAGTAACAAAACAACTGTTTATTTCCATTTATAAACCCTTTTGTGCTACCAGAACCAATGCACAGATAGGTTATTTTTAAAAATCTGCTGAAGTTGTAAACCATAAAAATAAATGCCTTGAATTTACCTTTAAGCGCTCAGTAGTTATTTGATGTTGGGCTATGGTCTTGAGTATGAATCTACTGACTGGATTTCCAAGTTGTCATGGTATGTGATGCATTTCCTACCATTTTTAGTTTTAGGCATTTTTAAATGGGACAAAAATTAGATTCTGCTTTCATTCTTGCTTTTTATTGGTACATAAATTTGTCCACTCTTAGATTTCTCAGCTATACTTCATTTAATCTCATTTTGGCTGGAGAGGGTTTGGGGTTGCAACTAGCTTTTATTAAGTGTTCTTTCTTAATACAGTCAACCTAGCTGTCAAATAAAACCAGTCTTTTACACTCACAGTTCAAGGACTGCTGAATATTTAATTAAATTACATAATTACCTATGTAATACAAACAGATTCGGTGACTACTGCCACTGACTGTAAGCATACAGTTCACCTGATGTGACAGAAGCACATGGGGATATTAGGGAGCAGCCTCCTCCCCCAGCCTTCAGTGCACCATGTCGTAAGTCAGCATTCATTTCCAGCCAGTTTTATCAGGTGGCAATTTGCACCAAACACTATGTATTCTACTTGTGTTACTTCTTTTAATCCACAATCCTAAAATACAGAAATGTTAATGAGAATACTAAAACATGGAGATGTGTCTTGCACTAGGTTACATAGCTAATAAATAAAATGGTCAGGATGAAACCCCCGGCATTCTAACATGTGCTTTACCATTTCATCACAAGTCCAAAGCCCGGGGGTGGGGTGGGGGTGGGTGGGAGTAATTCTCTACAGAGCACTAAGTTCCAGTCTAGTCCAC